GTACAATCTCTGCCTCTGGGAAACCTTTGAGATCATCAGGAAAATGTAAAGCTTTCTGCTATGAATACGCCCAACACTTGTGCACATTTCAGTGGTCCAGGCACATCTTTTACAGTATTCCACTCAAAAATTCCATGTTGCTTACATGTGTGCACTGGTATTCACAAGCCCCACACATGTAAGCCACCCTTCCAAGAGTAGTTCATGAAACATATTCATTTATGCTCATTTCATTCCTTTAACATTTTTTTCTATCTTGAAGCACTGGGGGAAGAAACTTGAGTCTGGGAATCATTTACCTCTGACACTTCCTAACCTTTAGCAAGGTTACTGTTGTGGGGGCCTGAGCATCATCAAATATAAAATGGCACTGAATTTTTTACTCCATTCATTTTCCTACAGATTCAATGAAATTATATATAAAATCTCTCTCCACATATATATGTGTGTGTATGTGTGTGTGTGTGTGTGTGTGTGTGTGTGTGAGAGAGAGAGAGAGAGAGAGAGAGAGAGAGAGAGAGAGAGCTTGGCACTGTTCTTGACACATTATCTATGTTCAGCATATGAGGTACATTAATATTGCTCTATTTATACCTACACACCTCTGTTTATCAAGCTCCTGCACACTCTGTACTAGACTCCCCTGATAACTGACTGCAATGGAGAAAGATTCCCCCATGCAACCTCTGTTCTCATGGAGCTTAGAACTCAGTTAATGACACAAACAGAACTATAACTATGATCTGAGATGAAGTATGATGTAAAGAACCACAGTACCCGTGGATGCATACAAGCAGTGAACCCAAACTTGGCTGGGGTTATGGAAGGCTTTCCTCGGAAAGCAGTTTCTGAGCTTGGGGGTGAGATTTTGGAGGGATCAGCACAGTATGCTTTATAAAAAAATGAGTGGGAGGCAAAAAAAATAACATGTATTTACTTGCTCCTGTACTATAGACTTCAAAGGTCTGGGATTAAGTCCAGATAATCATGTGTCTATATATTCATATTCTTTGTACTGTGTTCATCACAGATACACATAAATTCTCAACAACACTCACATAACATACACTCACATAACCAGGAAATGTCTCCTAAAGGGATTTATAGCATCCAAACACATAGTAAAGTCTCAAGGATTAGAAGCTCTAACTATGCCTGCAAGAGTCATACATAGCCTTATCTGTTGTGTACATCATCTTTAATGCACACTGAAAGGTTTGAAGTAGAAGAAAATGTATACTGTTTGTCTTTAAATAGCCTTAAGTTCTCAGTGTAGTGTCTTGTATAGTATAAATCTCCTAAAAATTCAGGGATTGAATGACATTCTTAATTAGCAATTCAAGGATTCAAAGAAAATCTTGTACCTCCAAATACTAGAAACTGGCTATGATGGCAAACACCTGTAACCTTGCCACTTGGGAGATGGGGATAGGAGAATCAGAAATTCTAAGTCATCCTTAGCTAAAGAGTGAGTTCTAGGCCAGCCTGGGCTAGATGAAATCCTTTATTTAAAATAATAATATCAGCATATTAATATCCTCAAACACAATTGGAATCAGGATTGTCATGTGGCTTGTTTGATCTAACCATGGGATAAGGGTCATTTGTGATACTTCTAGAACAATCTTCAAGAATAATTGCATTATCTTTTCCTTTCTTTGTCTCAGACAAGATGATTATTCCAGAGGTGTCTGCTCCTGTCAAATGTGTAGGCCCTGGAAGAATGTGAAGCAGAGGCAAAGCCAACCAGTGACAAATGCATTATGTGTGAAAAACAACATAGACCCTTGTCAACAAATGCCAAAAACAAGTACAAACTGGGAAAATCAAATCTTAAATCTCATTCAGCTACTCCCTGTAGGGAATTCTGTACGTCAGCTTATAGAGAAACATTCAGGAAAAATATCTAAGAGGTGTTGGAGAAATAAAGCAAATGCTGTGCAGAGGAGAAGCCGCCATAGACCACTGAAGGAGAATATGTCAACCATTAAAAGGGCACCACTTTAACGTCCCCGCTTCTAGAGACCATGCTATAGAAAACAGCCTGTCTTTAGCATGCTGCTCTGCATACAGCATATAGCCCGTTCATGCTCCCCTTTCAGTTGCTTGATTTTCAAGCTCCTTGACCATCCCACCACAGGAATGGAAGCTCTTCAGGAGCCAAGCTTCTGTTTAACTTGCACTCAAGCTAGTACACAAGATATGTGTACCTAGGGAACCTTTGCTGAATAAAGCATATACACAAAAAGAATACTACGTGCTACCGAACAATGTGTGTACAAGACTGACACAATAGCAGAGCAGATCCAAAGTTAAAAGTACATATTCATGGGAATGACGATTGGGGAGGTTAATGTTGGATGTCTTCCTCAGTATCCATCTAGCAGAATCTCTTATTGAGCCTGGAGCTCATGGATTTCTCTAGGCTGGCTGGTCCATCAGCTCCAGCAATCTGTACATACACACACACACACACACACACACACACACACACACACACACACACACACAAACACACACACCAGGGCTGGGCTTACAGATTTGTGTCACCACTTAACTTTCACATGGGTCCTGGGGACAGGAACTCAAGTCTCAAAGCTTGTATGACAAGCACTTTACTGACAGGGCCATTTTCCCAGCTCTAAACCTTCTTTCTTTCTATCTTTTCTTTTTTATGAGAGGAAAATGAAATCAAAATTTAGGGAGGCATTTGTAGAAGGGCCAATGAAGTCATTGTAATGTTTGACATAGAACCTGGTCCAGTCACTAAAAAGCTAAGGAGGTCCGTGATTGTGGCTTTTTATGGATGCCCTGTATAGAACATCAGTCAATACCACAAGTGAAAAGCTTCCATGCTTAATGTGGTCCCCTAGCTATGTAAGTAAAGCAAATATATCTGGACCAGAGTGTGACAGAAGGAGTGCTGTCTTGTCATCTTTTACTGTGAACTAGTCTATACACAAATGGAAATACAGCCATAAGTAAATCTAGATTCTCAAGTCTATTAAAAGAAAGGAAAATACTGCCCATGGAAGTTTAGACAAGTTGCTTTTACTTACAGGTTTGACTCTCTTTACTGGTAAGATAGGTGATTGCCTGCTTCATATGTTTTTTTGGAGAGCAGTAGATGGGTTTAAAAGATTCATTTGCTGTCTGATGGATACACACTACCGGTGTGTTTCTTCTCATTAGTGTCCTGTGCTCCTGTGTTTTATACATTGAGCCACTGGACACTGCTTTTTTCTTGCAAGTAAAATGTTTGTGAAAGGATGCTCTTATGAGCTTCCCACAAATCACTTTATGAATGTAAGCTCTGACCCCTCAATCAGCTAGCCCATCTGGAGTTTGCATTCGAGGAAAGAACAGGCCAGAAGTTTGAATAAAACTAATCATTGTTTGGAGCTTGGGTTTGAGAGTCTCTTTGCAAGTATAGATAAAAGGGATTTGTGAGGATGTAAGGAGGAGAAGGGGACCCCAATTGGCAGAGATGGGTTTACATAATCAGGGTTAGGCAGTTGCACACTAGACAGATGCTCAATAGCTTTTGGCACCAAAATATATTGACCAGCTGGGATATCATTAATGCTTAACAATTTTATCCTTATGACCACATCTTGGTCAATTAGGTTGTCTTTGACCACCAAAGGGCATAATATATTCTGTTGTAAATGCCACATGTGTATTTCTGTAGCCCATATTCTATTACATTGATGTGTTGCATAATACACACTAACTATAAATGCTTTTGCTTCTTCAGAGCATCATGTTAGATGGTGATTTAAGAGGAATAGAATTAAAATGTAAAATTAATTTCTTTATAAACAGTAATTAGTCATTACTCAGGGGAGTGTGTGGAGGGGTGTGGGAGTATGGTTACTAAAAGTAGAAGGATCTAAATAAAGTAATTTCTAAATAAATATTCAAAAAACTTCTATTAAAAAGTAATCTGGTGGGGAAAAGCTAATGCTGTATAATATCTGGACACAAATAAATGCAGGCAGGAAAGAGACAGTTGCTAAGAGATAGTGACTGAATGACTTAAACAAGGGCTGCTTGTGGAATCAGAGGCCCATGGCCAGTGTCATAACCCCATGAAGTCGTTTGAGAAATACTCCAGAAAGACCAATACCAGGCATTTATGAGCCACAGTATTTCCAAGAATTCTTCACATACTAAAATTTAATGTGTTACAACAGTCCAATCATGTTCAGAACTTGACATTGAAGCATCTGCTGAGTTCTATTTGTCATACATACTCTTATACAATAGTAAGAAGCTCAGACACAGAAACCCAACTTGCTACAAGATTCAAAGGCATGTGGGTAGATTTCACCCATAAACTGTTTCTTTTTCAAATGACTTGCAATGCATTTAATTTGAGACTTATTGAGTTTCTTAGTAACTTCCATGGGGGACCTTTGATTCTAATACTGTTCATGCATTTTCATCATACTCCAGGAAATGGTTTGGTTCCTAGTGCCTGAGCCCCCTCTGTATATAAATTTCTAAGAGTAGCATAAGTGTTCTTTCTTCAAAGTCAGGTAACCAACAGTACAAACTTCATGTGGGGAGTACAAAAAGGAAAGAAAAATATGGGCCATCAAGCAAGCTGTTTCCCACATCTATGGCAAGAGTCATTCAATAGAATCAAAATACTTCCTAAATCTCACAGGCAGCTTGGAGGTATGCAAAATCCTTTTAGAAATCCCTTTAACTGAGAGCTAGGTGTTACAGTGTATGCCTGAAATCCCAACACTCAAGAAGTCTATCCGGAGTTTAAAGTCATCCTAGCCATACAGCGAGTTTGAGGCCAGCCCAGAATAATAAGACCCTGTCTAAACATCAGTGAAAAAAGTGTGTGTGGGGGAGGTACTTCCCCTTTATGTAACCACAACAAAGACATAAGACCCTGTCTAAAGACAAGTGGGGAAAAAATGGGGGTGAACCTATTTCCCCTTATGTAACCACTTTTTCTGTTGAGATTTTGTTTTCAGAGGAAATCATGGGATAGCTTTTGAGGCTGAAAGTCCAGGGATGAAGGACTCCTGGGAACCAGCCAGTGGGAAGTGCCTTTCTCCATGTTCCGCTTTTGTCATGCACTGGCATTCTTCCACTTGCATCACCATCTTGACCACGGGGGTTGGGCTAGTGCAGTTCAGCCTCAAGCTCATGGTGGTGAATTTGGTGGGCGAGCAGTGGGAACAGAAGTTGTAGGGATGTGGCTCGGCTCCAGGAAAATGAATGGACCCGCATTTCCCAAAGCAAAGGTTGTTTGGGATAACAGCTTTTTCACAGTCTTCATGGGCAATTGTCTGAAAAGCAAACAGATTAGGTCACCTCAGGACATTTCGTGCCACTCTAACCCAGAAGGATGATGTAGAATAATCTACGTTGGGAATGCACTTCATGATATCCAAGAGATGGAGTCCATTAGGGGCAAGGCCGCCTCACCAATGCTTTCTTTATTGAGTAACTCATCAGTTAGCCTCTAGAAAGCCTTATGTTAACACGAAAATAATTCCCATTATAAACACCATACTTTAAAGAATTTTCATATAGTTGGCTATAACTAACTGGTAACAAAAAGCTGTAATGGCAGCTTTTTTTTACTTAACTACTACACCCCACCTTTCTGTTTCCCATAGTGCATTGTGTACAGCAGCTTCTCAATAAATACTGGTCACTTCATCATGAAATAGGCAAGATACTATGAGTATAAGCCTGTCCTATTTTATTTGAGCTGTACAGCATTCAAATCTACAAAGCAGCAGAGCCACAATTTATATACCTATGTTACATCACCTTTGCTGCTTTCTCATAATCTCATAAACACAGTTTTTTTCGTCTTTCAAAATAGCTGAGTCAAACTCCTTAATTTTAATTTAATTAGCAATAGAATTAAAAGGTAAGACTTTCAAAGGAAACTTGATTGCCCGAGTCCTAGGAGCAATTTTTCTAATTGTCCATTGACCAGCAAAGCAGATATTATTACTTGATGATTGACTTGTCATTGCTGCACAGTCAATTGCCTTAGAATACTGCCTACTTAATTGGGCGCCATTACTAGACTGTAAAATTTTAGTCTCTCCTGCACTGCTTCTGGTTCAGTGTCTTTTTTGATGCATTTTCTCTATTTTAATTTAGCATTTGGAATGTAGGTGTTGCCAGCTCTGGGGGAAGCAGAACTGTAGAATGTTCCTCTGTCTTAATAGTGCAGAACTCATCGTGGTCACTATACATTAGCCAGCACAAGTTAGGAAGTAGGATAAGGAAAGAGATGTGATTTCACGTTAAGGTTATTTTTGAAAACCCTTGAGAAAGATAAATTACACTCTAAATTATGTTTTGCTATCACAATGCCAAGAAATGATAGTGAGAATCACAACATAGAGTTTCTGCAGGAACATTTTAAACATCACATAATTTTAACAACTATTAAAGAAAGTGTTTGTGAACCTGTGAAGTAGTAAGGTGTGAGCATCAGAAATGAATGTAGGGGCACCCAGGGAAATATCTAGGGTATCCCACATCACCATATCCAGGGTATCCCACCTTACCTTCAGTTTGGTTCACATGCTTTTCTACATCTTCATGAATGTGGGGATAATCTGCAAGGTAGTTCTGGCAATTGCTCTACATTCCCTGTTTCCTAACTGAGAGCATACCCTTACTTTTCTATATGGATAGTAGACCTTAAAAATACATGCATTCAACAAAGCTCTGTGCCTTCAGAATGGTGACTACCAATACTGACCATGCCACCATATTAGCATTAGGCATTTCCAGCATGCCAGGAAACTGGAGATGTGAGGGAAATGGAAATACGATCACATTTTGCCAAGTCCCACAATGAATACCCAAGGACCAAATGTGGAATCAGGCATAGCACAGGCTCTTGTCAGCGTCTTCCCATCCTGCCATTTGTCCTAGCTGTCCCCAAGTCTTGCAGACTCTGGCTGTTTTCCCCCAGGATGCATACCTGGTTGAAGGGCACTGTCCTGCAGGTCTCCCGATGTACTTCATGGCTTTTGATGGGCAAGATGACCCCCTGGGAGGCTGGACCTTTTCTGAACATGAAGCGATGCCAGAATTTCTTGGCTTCCTCCTGAAGAGGTGATCTCTCCACTTTCCTCTCAGCTGCTGACTGAGTGAGGGCCTGGATTCCCAATGCGACATGATCATTTTCCACATCCTTTGTGGGGTGAAGTTCTGTCTCAGGTTTCTTCCAGAGTCTTCCAAGCCTGGACAGCATCTTTTCTCTCTGCCTCTGGCCTTCCCCAGCCAGACTGGCACCTATGAGATGTGGCACTGCTACAAACAGATCTGGCTTGTCTTCTGCCTCCTCTTGGTTAGCGATGTGGAGATCTCTGCGACCCCTTTCTAGGAGCACAAAGGAAAAGGGGCTCTGACTCTGGCAGCCACCCACACATCGGCCTGCCTTCCCCAGAGGCAAAAGCACAAGCAACTGAAGTAAGAGGAGATACATGCTACCAGGGACCAGAGACTGAGATTAGGTTTGCAGATGGCCAGGCCCAAAGGAGAGGCTCTCTCTGCAGAACTGCAGCCAGGGCATCCCATATAAGCTACCTGCCTGGTAGAATGGGAAGCAGGTGGTCAGCAGGCAAGCAAAGCAAACACATTAAGTGTTTGCTTACATTATGTAGTGCTAATGGTGTCCTGCCTTCCTCACTTTGGCTCTGTATTTTTGAAGCCCCCAGGGAAAGCCTGAGACCCAGGGGTTAATTAGCTGGTGGTTTAGCTGTTGTCTGAGTGGCTGGCTGTACTGGCAAAAACAACTTGCTCTTTGTCTGAATTCCTCATCATTGTCATTAGAAGAAAAAAACAGAGCCGGCTAACATTTGCTGCACATCTGCCTTGAGCTGGGATAAAATAGACACAGCCTCCTGTGTTTACTAGAGAAGAGTCGAAGGCAAGCAAAACAAAGGACATGTTAAGCAAAGCCCAGGCCTTCACAGAGCACACACACACACACACACACACACACACACACACACACACAGAGAGAGAGAGAGAGAGAGAGAGAGAGAGAGAGAGAGAGAGTGTAAAGGCGTCATCTGCCACAATGCTTAGGAAGGATTTAGTTTTGTTTCACAGCAACCCTCTTTGCCTTCTCGGTATCCACACTCGGGTTGAAGCTGTTGGTCACAGCCGAGTTAAGGGAATATATCTTCCCTATCCACACATGGAGACTCCAAATTCTAGAGTTAATCTTTTCACATTAAGAAACAAACACCGAATGCCAGATTTCACAACTGGCCAGAGATCAGTAAATTCTTCCAGTTGTTTACAAATTTCTCCACAGGATCCCAAGTGATATAGCTGACAGCCCATCAATCAAGGGGGATAATGTGTCCCTCAAGCCACTTCATCATTATTATTATTTTTTCTTTCTTTCTTAATCTGAGCTTGAGAATGTGGACTACAAAACCAGACTTGATCAATTTGGGGATGAAGCTGGAGTGGGGGGGGGGGGATCCTTACCTTACTGAATCCACATCTGCCATAATTCTAAGTGATTGGTGATCAGATTCAATAAAGACGGAGACAAACACAATTCTTCAGGGACCAAGGGGGTAAGTGGCAAATGACAACTTAAAATGAGCCCAGGATACAAGAAACTATCCGCCCTATCCGCCTATAGCATCCCAACTGGGAAACAACACATTTGCTTATCTTTCTTGGCCCTCATTTGCTTATCTGTCTTGCCCCCTTAATTTGGTCACCACATGCCTTTCTTTTGCTAGCAGAGGTAATCCGGAATGTACTCTCTTCTTGTTTTGTATGCAGCTTTCTTTCCTCGAGTTCCCCATTGTGATGTCTTTCCAGACATTTGTGTTCTTGACAGTTATTGTTGAGTTCTATGAGGCAAAGCCTCACATAAGCTATTTATAAACTATGCTTAAGTGGATTAGAATTCTAAAAGATATGCATTTTACTTGTTCCAGATGCCCATGGTACTTTTCCTGGTGTTCACTGAAGGGATGCTGGTCTGTATCACAAGACCATTGATATTCGCCATTTATTTTAAATAGTCCTTTTAAAAGCTTGCCTGATAACTGGAATTTCTTTAACTCTCTTCAGCCTCCCAATGCAATGCGCTTTCCACAGCAGCCATTAGGTCTTCTGGTAGTACATACAGTGTGAAAGCCAGCTACAATACATTCCCTGGCTCCTTTTTAACTTCACTGTTCAGTGACTTAAATTCCACTACTGTCAGTCAGACACACAGGGTCTAGCATGATCCACACAAAGCATTAATCATCGATTCTACCGGGGATCTCATCTTACCTGGTTCTGGAACTACTGGCTATTGGATACAGTTGAAACAATTTCTGTTGAACAGACATTTGTAGAGGACTTACTTTGTGGATGAAAAGTCAGGATCGATACTGGAAAATGACTAAAATGATTAAATCTAGCTCCTGCCTCAAGCAGGTTAGATACCCAGGGGCACAGTTTCTCTAATTTTATTACCTCTGGGGATGTCAGTCACTCGTTTTTAATTTTCCTTTGGTCTTAACTTCCTGTCTTCTGTACCCAAATTTTGGTACTTATAAATGCCAATTAGAAAGCACTCCTGGAGAATTTCCTTTTTTGCTCTTCTGTCTCTTCCTGCTGCTCAAGCATGCAAATATCCTGACTGACAAGAAACCTGTGGGAGAAGCATGGGATGAAAAGCCATCTCTATTAGAACTGGGAGGTTTGTCTTTCTCAGCGCTGTATATTCTCATCCATTCTAAAGCTCTGGACATGACATGCTATCCGTTCATCTGAAACACATACATGGATGTTTTTCTGCTTTCAGAGGAAAGGGGTGACCTCTGTTGGCCTTTGGGTGCCAAATGCACCTCTTCTGCCCATTTGGATGAGCCAACTGCAGGCAGGTCTGGAAGAAACTTCTAAACACAGCAGGAAGCTGTCATACAAAAAGAGCTACTGGTGTACTCTGTACCAACTAGCACAAGGAAAGAAGCCTGAACCGAGATGGGTCCACCCAAGAGGCAAAATCCACTTCATGGGCCCACATAAGCAAGAGGGCCACAGCAGCCAGGTTCAGAATTCACTCATTTTATCCAATCACACAGGCATGGCATGCTCTGAGTCTGCTTTAACTTGACCCTGTTTTCAGGGAAGTCACATATCTTTTGCAGCCACAGAGCCCTTTCTGAATATACCTAGTGAAATGTTTCTTTATGCCAGTGGCATTTCTACAGCACATAGGAGAAAGTTTGCTGGGAAAGTCAACCACTCAAAAAGAAAAAAGTGTGAAGGGCCTCACAACTGCCTTTTGATAGATCTCTGTTCTCACAGAGTCTCTGAAGGAAGGTGGAAAGGCATGGAGTGCTTGCATGGAGGTTAGGCAGAGAACCATTCTTCTCTGAAAGTCCTTTTCTCACATTAACAAAAGTTGAGAGGCCACTGTTGAGACAGAGACAGGCATGTGAGCTCAATGGGACAACTGAGAGATGGAAAAGGAAATTCAGGATGATAGCTTTGTGTGAGAAATCTATTAGGGAACAGACCTTCCCCGTATTACTATTTTTCCTCAAAACATAGGATAGCAGTAGAATCATAGAGATATCAGAGTTTTTAAAATGCAAAATAAGGCATAATATTTTAAAATATTTAATTTAGTTTTTGTTATTGTGTGTGTGTGTGTGTGTGTGTGTGTGTGTGTGTGTGTCCTAAAGGGTTAAGATAGCCTATGGAACTTCATTCTCTTCTACCACGTTGGTCCTGGGATGAAACTCAGGTCATGAGGCTTATCTAAGAGCCATCTTGCCAGCACTTTTTTCTTAGTTTTCAAACAAGGAGAAAGGTAGGGTAAGTGGTTTCTTGTCAAATAATTGTCTACGTGATATACTTCAGTAAGTTACTTAAAATATAGAACTATGTCTAACATCATTCCCTGGTCCATTTTATGGAAAGCACATATTCAGAAGCACACCCTTCCCCAATTCTGCTCCATGCTCTGGCCTCATTCACTCATTCATTCATTCGATGTATATGTGAGTGCCAACACTGTAGAATTGTAGGGGCTAATGATAAGAATGTCCTTGCCCATGAGTAGTAGATGTTGTAATTTGTAGTCTTATTTAATTTAATAAAAGTGTTATTTAATCAAAATATAAGAAAACTTTAGGCAGACAACATTCTTATACTAATCAGACTCTATCAACTATTCCCAAATTCCAAACACCTTGGACTGCACACTGTTTCTCTTAATTTTATTCAGTAAGTATTCACTGAGCACAAGGAAATACAGTAGACATTATACAATTTTTCTTTCTTTTTTAATAGATCAGAAGTAACCAGATTCAACAATACAAAAAAGCTCCACAATAAAGTGGAGCTTCTCCCTTCCCCTTCTCCCTTCTCCCTTCTCCCTCCTCCCTCATAGACTATCTATCCTTGCAACAATCAGCTGTTACCTGAGCTTGTGAATAGTTCACTTTTGGGCACCACATATCTCTAGACTTCACCAAGGACAATATAGCCTCTTGGCTTATCATTCTGGATGACCTCTGTGTCCACAGGGATGGATTGTGACCGTGTTATGCTGATAACATGCCATTGTTGTTATCACATGAATGCCCATTCAACCCTGTCTGAAATGGGATAACCCCTACTTCCGTTGGCCTCCTCAGTAACAATATTCTGACCTGACCCTGTTGCACCCAAGAGCTGCAGCCCTCTGATCTGTGAATTGCATGGTTCACACTCACATCTTGTTTGTGGTTTCAGCTCTTACACTCATCTAGACCTACTTTATCCCCATAGTAACACAATTCTAATCAAATAATGTTTGTGTGAACATTTATTTAGCATCTGTCAATACTCTAGATTTTAGAGTCTGAAAAAGATCAGTAGATGTTTTTGTTAAGTCAGTTCCTTCCACAGTGGAAATGCTCAGAAGCACTGGTTTAATGAATGGATGAGGTCTTTAGTTAACTTATATCTATGAATCTTCTGGTCCTCACTTCCTCTACCATCTAACTTGAATTCCATGGTTCTTAACTTTGGATCGTTGTACTGATCTCTATTTCCTGCCCTTTACAAATCACAACCCTGGAGTCAAGAAGCTTTCACCTTTCCTGGGCCATGACTACAGTGCAACCACTCTGCTGCCAAGGAAAATGGGAAGACGGGACAAATTGGTTCTGTACAACATACCTTTCTCTCAGCTCTGCTTAGCACTCTATCTTAATACTCTAGCTATCTCTTTATTTTCCAGATGAGCTTAAACTCATTGTCTCAGCCCTTTGATTGCTCTGCCCCGCTCTTCTTTTCAACAACTGACCTTACCCCTTCTTATACAGAGAGAGACAGAAGATACCAGATTAAGAGTTTCTCACATGTGACCTCAAACCCTGCCAGCTGTGTCTCCTTCCCTGTCCCCCAGAATCACATCTTCCCCATATGTCACCAAATAACCCTATAGCAACCTCTCCTAGTCATCTCTGT